GCCCAAATATTGTTCTCTCCATTGTGTTCTCAGACACATTTGGGGTACTTCCTTTCTCTATGGACAGAGATCAAGTGTTAAACTCGTATAAGAGGAAAAGAAAAATTGTAGTTGTTTTCTGTTAAAAGATTATATTTTTAAAGTAGGAGTTGGTAGAAGATGAAAGATTTGAACTGAGCCATAATACATATTCACGGAATTTAATGTACTCTTAATTTTTTCACTGATCCAATTTTGACGTATTATCATTGTTCTCATATATTCGAAATAAGATAGTTTTACACTCTCCTTTCTCTGCATAGGGAAGTTAATTTGTGGAGCTCAGTGCATCCAGTTTTGGATTTTAGGTTCTGACAGCGGTAACTACGAACAGTGCCAGTGAATTCGGCTACAGACGAAGGACAGTGAGTAAACAGACTACAAATGGATATAAAACATAAAACATGTGACATTCGAACCTAGGAAAAAACATTTATTTCTCGACATATCCTCCACCAATATTGTTACACTTGTCCAATCACTTTGCCAGTGCGTCGAAGCCCGCATAATAGAAGTATTTTGACTGTCTCAGCCACTAGCGCACTTGGTCGAGAGTCATCTGCGACTCCTGAACGTCCATGAGAGTAATTTTTGACCAAGTTGTGAAACGTTTTACGCGACAAACACTTCACACCGTAAACAGGAAACATTTATTTAAGAATATAATTTACACTGAATTCTTTGCCCACAGAAAACACGCACAACATAATTTTGTTTTTCGGTAGTATACAACCTCAAGTACGGTCACCATTTTGACTACAGAAACAAGCCTCTGAACATGCGCATGCGCGTCTGCTGCCTAGACTGTTATGTTGCCTGACTATACTGCTATGTAGTGGTACGTATAGAAAAGCTATTAACGTCCATTACAGCTATTTTACTTCCGTTTGCGACCTTCTACTGACTCTCCCTCGTACATCTGGAATATTTAAAAGGGAACACAATACTTTGCTTCAAAAGTATTAAGAAGTAAAATTTTCCATTCCTTGCATACAGATTCATTCATTCATCAGTAATCTGTCAGACGACAGGTCCACAGTCTCTTCCAAAACAGTTCCTCCACTTAATGCGATCTAGAGCTTTCTCCTTCAAATGAGAATATCCTCTTCTGTCCCCAAGGTCATCCAGCATCTTCTTACGTCTTCTTCCTCGTCTTCTGGTCACTTCTATCCGCCCCTCCGGTTTGTTTTGTCTCCAGAGAAAACATCTCGCATACAGATAGAAGCATTTAAATACAATGCAAGTTNTGAAGTTGCCCTCGCGTTAAAACCTCACTATTAAAAAATATTTAAAAATGCTTTTACACATCGATATTTGTAGCAGTGCCCATACAGCATATATACTGTGTACAGTTAAACAAAGCCAGTGTTTTCTTGTTAGTACAATGTGCCTCTGAAGATGGTTTTGCTAAAACCGAAACATGTAAGGCAAGAGTGAGAAAGAAGTAAAGACCTAAAAAACATTGTTACACTTGACTGACTTTGTATTGATTTTTATGTGAACACAATACTTTGCTTCAAAATTATTAAGAAGTAAAATTTTCCATTCCTTGCATACAGATTCATTCATTCATCAGTAATCTGTCAGNATCAATACAAAGTCAGTCAAGTGTAACAATGTTTTTTAGGTCTTTACTTCTTTCTCACTCTTGCCTTACATGTTTCGGTTTTAGCAAAACCATCTTCAGAGGCACATGGTACTAACAAGAAAACACTGGCTTTGTTTAACTGTACACAGTATATATGCTGTATGGGCACTGCTACAAATATCGATGTGTAAAAGCACAACACTAGTTTGGAGTACTGAATGCACGTACAGAATGCACGTTCAACCTTCGTATTCCATCTGAAGTTGCCCTCGCGTTAAAACCTCACTATTAAAAAATATTTAAAAATGCTTTTACACATCGATATTTGTAGCAGTGCCCATACAGCATATATACTGTGTACAGTTAAACAAAGCCAGTGTTTTCTTGTTAGTACAATGTGCCTCTGAAGATGGTTTTACTAAAACCGAAACATGTAAGGCAAGAGTTAGAAAGAAGTAAAGACCTAAAAAACATTGTTACACTTGACTGACTTTGTATTGATTTTTATGGGAACACAATACTTTGCTTCAAAATTATTAAGAAGTAAAATTTTCCATTCCTTGCATACAGATTCATTCATTCATCAGTAATCTGTCAGACGACAGGTCCACAGTCTCTTCCAAAACAGTTCCTCCACTTAATGCGATCTAGAGCTTTCTCCTTCAAATGAGAATATCCTCTTCTGTCCCCAAGGTCATCCAGCATCTTCTTACGTCTTCTTCCTCGTCTTCTGGTCACTTCTATCCGCCCCTCCGGTTTGTTTTGTCTCCAGAGAAAACATCTCGCATACAGATAGAAGCATTTAAATACAATGCAAATTCCTTTAATATCTCCTGTTAAACGACACCACTGTTACTCTAAAATCCTTACATAAATACAGGAAACGTCTGGGTGATACCGGAAACCTTTTGTCCGTGTCTAAGTAGATCGTTTTTAATGGAATGTATTAAGAGTATATGGGCAAACCAACTTTGCAGAACATCTGTTCAGGACAGTGCTAGACTATGGCTTCCACGCCTAACAAAGTCTGAACCAATTCAATTAGATATGGGTACACCTGAACTGAGGGTCTTGGGATCATTCTATTTGTATCCCCGACCACACACAGCCCTTGCACAAACAATACCGGCGATCAATTTTACACGTCTGCTGTCAAAGCCAGTTCAGTTACACGTCTCCCGACAACCTATTGCGGCCTCGAGCTATATCGGCTATTGTTCCGCTCTCTCACAACTTAGATCGGTGCTTCTGAACTTCGTCTCTGCGGCGCGCCTTTATGCGTCCATTACTTTACCTCTCCTTCCGCGGTCGCATAAAGAGGCAGTACACTTAAAGAACACGATCCTGTTCGCTGGTTCGTGAATTGTAACACCCCGAATAACTGATGTTTATATAATTAGAAACTGTGGCCCTGTATGGGTGTGAAACTTGGTCTCTGACATCGAGGGAGGAACATAGACTGAGGGTATTTGAGAACATAGTGTTGAGAATATTTGGACCGAAGGGAGATGAAGTGACAGGAGGTTGGAGAAAACTGCGTAATGAGGACCTTCATAACTTGTACTCTTCTCCAAGTATAATTAGAATGATCAAGTCAAGGGGGATGAGAAGGGCAGGGCATGTAGCACGAATAGGAGAGAAGAGGAATGCATATAGGATATTTGTAGGAAAGCCAGAAGGAAAGAGACCACTGGGAAGACCAAGACGTAGGTGGGTGAACAGTGTTAACATTCATCTTAGAGGGATAGGATGGGATGGTATGGATTGGATTGATCTGACTCAGGATAGGGACCAGTGGAGGGCTCCTGTCAACACGGTAATAAACGTTCGGGATCCATAATATGCTGGAAAGTTCTTGAATTTCTGAAAAACTGCCAGCTTCTCCTCAAGAAGGGCACAACTCCATAATTGGTTATATAATTAGAAATATTATGTTGTCACGTCACATTGTGTGTGGGATTTCTTCATTTGATTCCGTCACCACAGTAGGTAGTATGGACACGGCATGTATTCCTCGCTTATGGCATGTTTGGGCTCAGTGAGACGCCAACAAGTTTGTAGGAATACCAGCAGGCGATTGTAGATGAATGTGAACACGTCGGGTACCTGATGGTGGCTC